GACCAGTCGCCGCTGCACAGGAAGGTGCAAGAAACCCCCATATATACTGCCCATATATAAGTCTAAATATGGAAACAGATGTTTGTCAATCCTATAGGGAAGCCAGCAGCGCTCTGGAGGAAGACTGGCTGCTCATGAGATGCTCCCGGTATCTTGAGCATGGGCCATTAATCCAGTCTTTTCAGCAGTGGGTTGGGCGCCCCAGGACCCTGCTTTCCAATGTCTTGAAGCTGCAACTACTCATATTTGTTCCAGCAACAATTTATACATGCTCATTTAAGACACTCCACTGGAGGTGCCTGGACCTGCAGGCTTTCCAAATTCTGACTTTCTAGGTGAGAGATAGGCGAAGGCCAAAGACAGTCACATCTTCCCAGGAATTTTTACTGTGGCTGGGTGCACATTTTCCCAATCTAGAGAGCAATCTAAATTCTGGCTTCTTCCATACCATATGATTAAAATCATGTACACCAAGCAGTATATTACCAAAAAATCCACACAGCAGAAAAAAAGCATCCTCACAGAGTAATTTGTTCTCTCAGGTTTAGAGCTACACGACAGAAAGCATTTAGAGCTAAAACATACATGTTGTCTTGAGGCAAGGTACTTCTTCCAGCTTTGTTTCTTGAAATAATCCTGTCCTAGACATACCCACACATAGCTTTGTGTTTCCTGAAGATAAAAAGAAACAACTGCTGGTCTTTTGTGGAGTTAATGCAGAAAGATAACGCTTAATATTTAAGACGTTTACAAGGAATAGAAGGGGACGACAAGTTTGGGAGAGGTTGGGTTTGATATTTAAGTCACCACATTCACACCTGAGTTCTTAGTTTCCTTCTTTCCCAAAACTTCCCTTCTTAACCATGTGCTGTTTAAAGCAGAAAAGGCCAAGTTCCTCTCTAGTATCTTCCTGCTCATTCATGTTCTACGTGCTTATATTACATTTTTCTGTAAACATTACTCTCAGTGATCAAGGCTGAGATATTATTTGATACAAAAGTTATCACTTAGGCTATCAATAATGGAGCATGGGGTAGAACAAGAAGGACTAAGGTGGGCCTTTTTCCTTCTCTTGATACTGGTTATGGTTAAATCAGAACTGTTTATACTGTTCACAGGCCTAGAAATCCCAAGTATATTATTACCTTTTAATGCAGATACACCCCCATTTTGTTTATTGTGCTATATGCTCAGAGGCCCATGCCCCCCTCAGCCAAATTAAAAGTAATCACAACAGCTCTTTTCCATGTCCTTGCATATAAACAAGGTATCTTCTGCATATAAAACTCTCGTTACAGATTTTAAATCCAGACTGCAGGCAAAAGTAGTACATTTTACAAGACAGAGCACCAGGGGGAGGTCAAGAGAGATTCTTAGTGCCGAGATCCATTAAATTTACGGATTAAGCAGAGATGCTCAGCCACAAGAGACAATGAGTATGAATGCCCTGCTTTAGCCCAAGAGTAAAGGGGGTCTTTTTCATCTCCACGGTCTAAGATGCAGTAGTATCTCAGTAACCTGGCAGGGGAAATACCGTGACCACGTTGGTGGCAGGGGCAATGCCTTGACCAAGTAGGTGGTTTTAAAATGGCTTTGGATAATGGAGGGTGCATCCTTCTTTGCTTGTGGACAGGACTCCCTACTAAAGCCTCATAGTTAGCTTCCCACTGGCCAGCTTCCTGAGGGAAGATCTCTGCTACACACTGACTTTATGGAAATGGGAGACTCCTCCCTAGCTTATTCCTGCAGCCATACGGCTAAGGGCAAGTGAAACTGGGGGGCATCCGAACCCCAAGCCCACGGGCTTGGGCATGCACACAGAATGCCTGCCAAAGGATTTGGAAGCATCTGAAACCCCAGGCTGAAAAGTGTGAGGTGGAGGATACTTGCTGGTAGTAGGGCCATAAAACGTTTGGGTTTTTTTTAATGATTTGGAACTGATCTGGCTCATTTGACCTGGGACGCTAACATTTTTCCTTAAAAATAAATAATAAAAAAAAAAATCTCAGTGACCCACGCAGGCCTGATGTGCACAAAGCCAATTGTCTCTGACACTGCATCAACATAGCTTGAAGCTTCCAAACCTGGCAGAAACTATAAAGAGCTGGCCCCTCCAAGACAATCCTGGAGAGGTGCCAAGGGGGTTTCTCACTGGGGTCAAGTGCAGCTGAGACATGTCTACCACTGCAACAGCAATAAGAGCAACACTGAGACCTGCATTTCTCCCAGTAAGGTTTTCACAAAGGTGCTCACGGCACACTGTACATTAGGCACCAAGTTACTGCAGCACTGTGATAACCAGAGGGTACTGCTCCAACAGGCGTTACCGTTCAGTTAATGTGGTACATGTCCAGACCAAACTGTTCATGGGTTTATACCAATAGCCACAGTTTGGAATTACCTATCCCACCTCCCAAAACAAGACACTCTT